TTTTCTGTCTGACTTATTTTGCTTAGCATTATAATCTCAAGATCCATCCATGTTACTGCAAATGGAATTATTTCATCTTTTCTTATGGCAGAATTTTATTCCATTGTGTATATGTACCACAACTTCTTTATCCAATCATCTATTGAAGGGCATTTTGGTTGTTTCCATGTCTTGGTACCATAAATAAAGCTGCAATGAACATCAGAGCACATATATCTTTATGGATAAACGTTTTCATATTTTTTGGGTAGATAACCAAGAGAGGGATTGCTGAGTCATACGGTAATTCTATTTTTAATTTTTTGTGGAATCTCCACACAGCCTTCCATAGCGGCTGCACCAATCTGCATTCTCACAAACAGTGTATGAGGGTTCCTTTTTCTCCACAGCCTCTCCAACACTTGTTATTATTTGTCTTGTTGATGATAGCTATTCTAACTGCTGTGAAGTGATATTTCATTGTGTTTTTTATTTGCATTTCTCTGATGATTAGTGATGTTGAGCATTTTTTCAAATGTCTTTTGGCCATTTGTACGTCCTCTTTGGAGAAATGTATATTCAGGTCCTCTGCCCATTTTTTAATTGGATTGTTTGGTTTTTTGTTGTTCACTTGGATGAGTTCCTTATATATTTTGGATATTAGCCCCTTATCAGAGACAATGTTTGCAAAAATCTTCTTCCACTCGGTTGCTTTTATTTTGTCAATGGTTTCTTTTGATGTGCAGAAGCTTTTTAGTTTGATATAGTCCAATTCATTTGTTTATTTTAGCTTTTACTTCCCTTGCCTTTGAGATCAAATTCATAAAATGCTCTTTGAACCCAAGGTCCATTAAGTTTAGTACCTATGTTTTCTTCTATGCAGTTTATTGTTTCAGGTCTTATGTNGTAATTTTTGCTATAATTATATATGAGGAAAAATTATTTAGCCTAAGAAAGGAAACATCTGACTGAATTTTCTTTAGCATTAGTTTTGGAAATAGTACAAAACTACAACACAATTTTTTTTTTTGAGAATATTGGATACTTCCAATATTTGAAATTGTTGGGAATTTTGTTCCAGTCTATACACAAAACAATGGGAAGGCTACAAGCTCTTTCATCAGTGACAGATAACACTGATAGAAAACAGTCATTTTCCATGTGCCTTGTCAATTTGTCTTCATTTTTATGATACCTCATCTTTGCACTCACCATGTCACTTTCCAATTCCATCATTTTCCGGTGCAGGGCGGCCTCTGCTCCTTCAATTTGCTGGATCCACTAAACAAGAAAAATCGTTGGGCATGACTGCTTGATATGGTGTATATATATGGTGCTCTCTACTGAGCTACTTAGTCTCAATCCCTTATATCTCAGGAAGCAGGCTAAGAACTGAAGTGAAAACTTGGCATAGTTTATCTCTTAGTTCAAAAACAAGACTATAGTTTTCCACTCATTCATTCATCTAACAAATGCATTCATTGATGCCTACCATGTGTTAGATAACGTGTTAGGTACCAGGGCTGTGATGGTAACCAACGTATTTTTGTCTTCATTGGAGAACTCAATGGAAGGCTATCTTGGAAGTGAAAATTGCACTGGAATCTGAAGAATGAGTCAGACATGATTAGATTAAAATGACGGGCAAGTTCCAATAAGAAGGGACCTCCAATTCTCCATGGATGGAGGGAGCGTGATGAAAGAAAGAAGGCCTGGTAAGACTGGAGCAATGGCAATTTTTTAGTATATAAAACTAATCATTCTGTTATATGGCATTGAT